TCGTAAAAATTCGCAAATAGTACCCGACTTTGGAGGCAAAATTAAGCAACTTATATTTATCTGTTTAAGTCCAGCGACATGTCATAGTTCTTCAAATAAAAATTTTCAATTAAGCTCATAAAAAGGGTGGCTAAAAGTCGTGATATAACAACTTTTAAGTATATTTATTCATTAAACCCTAAAGAGTGAGCAATCACGAAACAGGCTTGTCGGGATGAATCTGTAGTCCTGTGATTTTTCTCTACACCACTACACATATATATATATATATATATATATATATATATATATATATATTAAAGTGTATATATATATATATATATATATATACTATATCTTTCATTGAAAGCGCAGTGCTATGAATGTTTTCTCAATTTCAATTTACCGTTATCTGCGATGAAAATTTACGAAAATTGCATCTTTGAACAAATAATTTACGCTAAATTTGTGTTGTTTTCTCAATTTTATCAGGGAGACCGATACCAATATACACATCTGGTGAATGGGTTATGTTTAATTGCGTAAATCACAACGATTTAATGCTCAAATTCTGAACAGCAAACGAAATTACATGTTGACAACAACCAAATAAAAATATTAGCAAAAATGTTTTCAATGTTACAAACTTGACAAAATCAGATATATACACCTGCAACCGTTGCCGAGTGCGCTACAATGTCATGGTTCAATCAGGTAAGACGACTCAATATGATAAATGATATCCCAAATTACTCTTAACCCAGTTAATAGTTTTGCTTAACAAGAAAATTTGGAAATTCCATTTGACTTCTCAATTTTTTTGATTTGATCGTTGTTTGTGAAATTACTCAGCCTGAAATTGAATCACTGTTTTGTATATTCCAGAAATCCATCCTATCAAGTACCTTTAATCACAAAAAGAACCAGACAAAACAATATATGATTACAAGGAACGTGTTACATTGAATTGCAAGCTTATTGGCCCTTCATATTTAATAGAAAATTATTACAGAAGATCATGCAAAAGAAATGGTAAGAGAGAAAAGAAATGCGAAAGAGACTGCAAGTTGCCAATTAACATAACACCTGAAAGCGTAGGAAGCTACGAGTGCTCAATTGAAAGAAAACTCGTTCACTACAAATCTTCTCAGAAAGTTACGATAAAACTCAAAGGTAAATTAATTAGTTATTTTATCTAAATTAATTTCCCATCGTTTGTAATTTTTGGAAATTTGAATCACTGTTCAAATACACTACATGTCACATTATGTATATACCATGCAAATGAAAGCAAATTGGTATATACAAATTGTATACAATTTCATATTTCTGTCATGTTCGCTACTCTGTGTTTCCTCACAAGAAAGCCATCTTCAAGAGATGAATCGATCATCTCCTATATCAGGTTGGTGTTTTTAATGTATGTAATGACGTGGCTAAATTTTACAATTGGTCGTCTTTATTTTACACTTGTGTGGTCTGAATTTGTATTTATCAGTAGGCATCTGGGGGAAAAACTGATCTCTTACTGAATGTTTTCATTTGAAATTAAAGGTTTGTTTTTTTTCTTGAGCGTGCAAGATACAGAAACGTGAGTCAGCAGAGTTGGTGGGATGCATGTAAGAACTCTTCATTTCATCCCGTATAAGGTCAAACATTCTTTTAATTTCCGGAAATAATTTAACAACTCTGTTTCAATATAACACCTGGCCGACTTGGTTGGATTAGTTGATTTGCCTGATGATTTTGACGGAAAGAATTTGACGTTTCTCACAACGTAAAGTCTTATCATGCTGCCGACCATTTTGGTGGCGTTTAAAATATGATGGATCCAACGAGCAGATTGTAGCAAGTTGTTCTGCGGCTGAGCAACATTGCAAATATCATGACGGAAAAAAATTAAGAAACAAATTTGAAGTAAAGTCTGTCAGATTCCTGATGATAATATAACCTACAAGATCAATGTAAGCAATATGAAAGGATATGAGATCAAGAATATTTCAATACAAATTTCGTTAGTCCTGTTCGAAAAAGTATTTGAGGTAAATGAAATTAAAATTTTAGGGTGTGTTTTAGTTTTTAAATTCAGTTTTTAAATTTTTAGTTAAGCCTAGCATTGAAATTCGAAACGAAAATATAGTTTTGAAGAAAGGATTTCGGTGTTGAAATGTTCATTAAACCAGAAACATTAAACAAAAGAAGTAACCTTCAAATGGTTCATCTGTATATCTGATACCTGCTACGACGACAAACATTGGAAATACATTTCATCCAACTATTCTTTAAAAGTACAGATTGAGGGCAGGTAGCGCTGCAGTGCATGCAATATAGTTGAACAGCTATATCGCCAACAATAAACGTCGTCAGGTATATTTCAACAAACACTAATGTTGTCAAAAACAACAATCACACAGGCAAGTCTTCTTTATCAATGTCGCAGAATTTGAGGTCGTCCAACAATATAATCTGCACTATGACTTTTTTATTGATTGTGTTTTACTGACAAAGAATAAGCAAATCGCAACATTTTGTTCGACCATATTAAAAAATCTACAATCTAAGCTTTTCATCAGTCACAACTGATCACCAATACCTAATTGTACTCCAACCTACATTCTATAACCATATTTATAATTTTTGTGTATAAAATTAAATATCATCTTACATCAATCATTGCAAAAATATATTGTTGTTGTTTTTATCTTTACTAAAGAAGCTACATGCAAAAATCGCTTAAATAAAAGCATGTATTAACGTACTTATGCTTATATTTACCACAATCCCCGATGATCATGAAATTTAACTTATGTATCAATCTTGCTTTTTGTTGACAGCTTACAGATTATATTTTAGGCCGTTGAATTTGTCTTAAGCAGTATGATTGGCAAGATAAAAGTTGCAACTCTTCAACAGCATTAAAAACTATTTTTTTACAAAACTTCAGTACTCTCGAAATGAATGATTCATACACGCAACTCAGCCATAAAGTATTTTTTCTATTTATGTAGTAAACATTGCCAATATACAACAGTTGAAGAAGATAAAGTTTATATTTGTCATATCTACTGGCGTCATCACACTCGTCATTTTGGCGATCACATCTTATGTATTTTACAAAAGGAAAATATTCACGGTGGTTTTATATCCTCCATTTGACTACATTGATTGATATGAATGGAGGCATACACGGACAAATACAAAGCTTCCATTTTTTGAGTGGGAGCCAAGAGAGAATAAAATGTAAGTAATCCCATGGAAACATTTCTCTCATCAATTTTTTTTATTCATCGCATTCGTCCGGTCTGTGCAGGATAATTTGGTAAGAACTCAAATTTTACAAGCCTTGTCTGCACTTTATATTTTCTCTACAGTTTTTATATTTTCTCTAAGTAATGGAAATTTTAAGCTAAAAACGTAGTATGGTTTCTTGACTAAATGATATATTTGTTGATAACATTGATGTTTTATGTAGTAAATAAACCTGGGTCTTGGAGTTTGGTATGTATTTGCAGAGGCAGTTGGTCTCATCATTTCATCCAGACATCCTGAGAAAAAAATCAAAGAAGGTTTCGCTTTTAAAAGAAATTAGCAGGACATTTTACTAAAGTTGAAGTAAGAAAACCAATGGTTTTTATTAACATATTTAATTAATTATTCATATATTTATACGCTCATACAAGTAGCATTATTTTTTGTTTCATGATTTTAATGACAAAAAAGATTGAGAAAACACTAAAACCGTTTTTGTTGACAAGGAAGGTGAATTTTTTGAGCTACTCGTTATGATATTGCGATACAACCTCGGATTCAACGACGACTTTTCCCTTTACAAGTGGAATTGCATAAAAACTGATTAAAAATATGAACTGAAATGATGCTACAAAGAAAATTGTCCTTAATACAATTTTTATTCCAAAACCATCATCAGACAAATGAAAATGATCCTTTCTCGGATTGTGTTTTATTTTATAATAACAACGCTACAGAGAGTATGTGTCAAACAATGAGGTGAATATTGGTATGTGCGTTAACCCAATCGTTTTTAAAGTATTGCAAATTAGATACTGTCATCATTTGGCTATACAAGTTGCAGTGTGGGACGTGTACATAAAACAAACAGTAATAGAAAATCGTCGATAATCATTATTGGCATTCATCCAATCCAGTAGTGGTTATCCCCGTACAATTTGTCAACTTTGGTTTATATAATAGTTTCTTGAAAGAATTGATTTATGCGAAAAAAGTATACCATTTGAGAAAGTTTAGAAAACTTCAATTGCGAGAATATTCATGGTAATTAAGGATACTATGAAAAATACTCATACAATTGAAATTAGGCTTGCGATTGCGACACAATCACTGTAATGGCTTTGTTGATTTAAATAGCGCAACTATTTTAGCAAATAAGTGAACATCAATAGTTATCAAGAATTCATTGAATGAATAACTTTGGCTTCCCTAATGATCTCAGACGAGTCGTTTTTTTTTGCCTAAAACAGCTGCTAGGCTACTCTTCCATTACAGATTCCTAATCAGGGTTAAGCGAGTTTTGCTGGACGCTAACATTATAATTACATCCTTCTCCAATCCTACTTCTCCTGCAGTATCTATGTGGTTATTAGTTTATGTCCCTTCTGTGTCACAAATCATAATGCGAGGCATTTTATAAGCAACAGATTTCTTTAGACAAGGCATAACTGAACGCTGCATGTTATATGTTGACCGTTATGTTTAAGGAATAGTTGATAAAATTCCAGGTGAAGATGTAGAACTTATTTTTGATGCTAATATGACTCTGTAGATGACATTGACAATGAAGCATTACAACACATATACTGCATTGTTGTGAGTACATATCTGTTTGTATTTACTGATTTCTTGACGTTAATCACTGCCTTGATAGCTTGTTTGACTGATGCTTTTCTGCAATCACACTTTTGGGTTTTGTGGGTAATGTAGATCTTCATCAAAAATACTATAACTGGATTGTAAAGAAATGCTTCCAATGTTTACAGCTATGTTTTTCTTTAGCAATAATAATTTCTTTGAGGTATTATTTAATTGACGTCAGTTTTCAACACTTTCACGGATCTTTGGTATACGTATATTTTGCTTGACGCTTCTTTATATGTGCAGCTGTGCGTATTTTGAATTATTCACAAAACGTACAAAATATTTAAAAACAGATGCAATTGCAAATGCAAATTGCGATACAATAATAAACACATGACGGACAAGAGAAAATTACGAGAAACAAGTTCGAAGTAAAGTCTGTCAGATTCCTGATGACAGTTTAACCTATCAGATAAACGCTGGCGATGAGAAAGGATATGAGATTACGAAGATTTCAATAAAAACAGGTCAGTCCTGTTTATTTAAAGAAAAGAAACTGAAATTTTAGCGTATAACATTTGCATACAAACGAAAGGCAAATAAATGGCACTTGTACATTATGCGCCCTGTGCACCAAGCAACTCAGATTAGAAGCTCAACTTTTACTTCAATAACGGTTTCGACATTCCAAGAAAAAATACCAAAAACATAGCTATTTGGTTGTTTTGAAATGTATCATACTCATTCAGCTTTCAGAATTGACTCATGCATAATAAAAGGATCACTTTCTCAGTTTTACATTTTTCAGTGAACCTAAAATTGACATTAAAGACACAAAAAGATTTTTAAAGAAAGGATTTTCGGTCCTAAACTGTACGTTAACGCAGAAATATGTCCCACAAGAAGTAACCTTCAAATGGTACATTTGCCAATTTGATATCTGTGATGAAGATATGAACGAGAGAAAATACATTTCATCCAACTATTCTTTAACAGTAAAGATAGAGGGCAGGTATCGTTGTAGTGCCAACAATAGCGGTGGAATAGATACGTCACCAATAATATCAGTTGTCAAAGAATCCAAACAAACAGGTATGTTTTCTCTTGTTAATAACTTGCAGAATATCTTAATTTTGTCATTGAAAGTAGTGCATTGGCAGAACGAACTTACCTAGACAATCGGAAAATGTTAGACAATCAGACACTTAAAGAATGTATTAATGCAAAATATATTTATAAAATGAAGTGGAAAGGGAAGGTTTTTCTAGATCGACCAGTTCTGTTCAAAAAGCATCCACCAGAGCTAAAGGATCTGGTTTCAAACTGTAAAAGAGAAGCAGTTGAGTGTTCAACCTGTCCGCAAAAAGACCTAACGCACAAGGCAACCGAATACGCATTAAAGCAAGAAAAATCTCGTGACATAGTGCCAATCATTCGATCCGTTGAAATCAGACTACCAATCTGCAACATGTTTACCGACCAGGTAGAAAACCACTGAGATAAATATTGCGATTTGACGCCCATTCCCATAAGGCCAGAGCCAAAGAACAAAAGCGCGTTCACCCTACGCAGTTTCTAAATGCCGCAGCTGAAGTGTGTCCATGCGAGGCCTCACATGGACACATAATTGACCCTTTGTGAAGCTCATCGCCGCAAAGGAAACCACAAAAATTCTAAACAATTTAGTGCAGCTTTCTTCCATTTCATGAGCCCCGTCCTCACACCCTGACAAACTGCTTTCTACCTTGACGCGAAGCATCTGTTTTGATCATTAAATCCGACGATGAATGCAGAATCACTAGACCATTCCAAGCGTCGTGATGCGCAATCCACCAACGTAATTCTTCCTTATCGTTGAAAGAGCTAGAGTCACATCATAACCCAAGTGTTGCGCTACAACTCAGTGTTTTAGTTGTTGAAGTGATGGGTAATGCAGAGGAGCAGGAAAGATAGCCTGAATGGATGCGGTAAACTTGCCAAAAGGGTGAGGTAGTTCCCCACTGACACTTTATTTTGAGCTAACATTTCCAAAAATGTTCTTTATAAACTCTCTTTCGATTTTAGAGAAGACCTGTAAGCAGCCCTTGAGCCAGTTGCACGAAGCTGAGCAGGTTATCCATTGATAGCAAAATTTTCAAACTTGTAAAAGGTGTTTAAATTTTAAGTTTTAAATAAAAGAAATTTCAGTAATATCCGAAACAATGTTTTTCAGTGATTGTTCAGTTCAAATCTTATAGTTTTGCCTTTTAAAAGGTTTTATAAAAGTTGAAAAACATTCATCCAGGCTTCATGCAACCGCCCCTAGCTGCTAAATTGACCATCGACACCTAACCTTAGACGCCCATGGCGCTAGATTAAGGGCTGGTTTCCTTCTTCAGTTGGAACCAGCCCCAAACCAACAAAAATAATCCTCAACAAAAGGCCGAAACAGTTCGATAAAACGTAAACACGAGCTGATGAAGAACTAATAACTTATAAAATGATACCTAGCGCAATAATGGCGCTGCAAACGAAACATACTTTTTGCATAGTTTGTGGTAGCAAAACAATATGTGTATGCTAACGATACAACAATCCACTTTATTTTAGGATTTGGAAGATAATGAAAAAATAAGAAAATTAGAAAAAGTCACTGAAAGTTTCGAAGATGGAGGCAGAAATTGATTTTCAATGGCAGTAAAGTGGAAAAGATTCCAATGATTTAATTTACTTACGTAGAAAAAATTCCCAACACTAGATTTATCTAGAAACTATCCTAACACTGCAATATATAAGAGATGGAAGTTTTATGAAATTTTTAATAGCTTATAAGCATTATTATGCAAAAATGAAATTTAAATAAATGCGTGTGCGATAGTTAATTTAATTTTATATTATGAGCAACAAACCCATAGAAGATCTCAATTTTACATTGCACGTTCTATCCTTTCCTTAATCAAGTAGCATTTGCAAAGCCAATAACACTCAATGGCAAAAACTTTTGCCCTGCCAAAAATTTTAATAAATATACATTTTGCTGGTCATCAATGGAAAATATTCATTCATTTATGCGCAATAGATACTGCAAAATACCTTTAATTGCACAAACGCATCTGAATAAGTCACGCCTTCATGTAGAAATTTGGCATATTCATAAGCTTTCAATTGCAGAGAGTGGCATTCAATGCGAAAAAAATACATTCAAAAGTGTGAAATATCAATGATTTAGAACCCAATCCGCTAGATGTCTAAGTACCGAGTAAATGTTAGGCAAGGACGCCATCCTGAAAGGTGGCAAAAAGCAAAATTCAAAATGAAAAATAATTTATAAGAAGGTTTAAAAACCCAATTTTATCAAACATTTTAAAAATTAAACCTAGATTATCAACTTTGCAACTGTATATCAACACATGAAAAGTATCGTCTGTTTTGCCACCTTTCAAGATGCGGCTTGTCTCACTGGTCTCACTCAATATAGAATTTTGGAGGAGTTAGATAACTAGTAGATTGGGTTCTAGTCAGTGGAAAATGCATTGAATACAACTGGAATACATTCACCGATCGATCAAGCATTGAAAATACAAAACACATTTGCCTATTTATTCAATAAGTAACTGATTGTTATATTTCTATTGATTTCATTGGCGTAAATGACTATTTCAACACTTCTAATGAATGTATCTTCACATTCAGGAATGTATATATTTTGCATTTGAATGCCTATTAGTGCAATTATATGCTTATGAACATGCAAAATTTTTACATGAATGTGTGTTTTGTTCAAATGCGCATTGGTAGATATAAATAACTGAATGAATTTTCCTGTAGTGACCAGAAAAATGTGTATAATAGAAACCATACTACAAACATCATCTTGGAGACTCAAGATTCGAGTTACAATTTATTGCTTATATGATTGAAAATCTCCTAACCCTGCAATGGAATTTTTTTATAACATGTTTGCATTTTACTTACTTAAATTAAAGTTTTAGTGACATGTAAATTAGAAAATTCATGTTCTGTCTTGTTTTCAACGTTTGGGAAAACTTTGAGTTTCCAACTTTATCATGCATAAAAGCAGATAGTGCGTACCATTCAGATTATCACCTTCAAAGTTCCTCATTAAAACCCTTTGATAGTTATCATCGAAAATCACGTCAGTTATGCGCTAACATCTTTTTTAAACTTTCTGAAAGCGAAAAATTTATAATCTCTCTAGTTTTAATCACAATACATCGTGAATTTTGTCGAGTCGCCTCCTTTGATTCTTTCGTTGAATGCGATCAGCAGTTCTCGGCAATGACTCAGCTGGTTTAGCCTCATGAGCAGTCTCGAGGTACCATAAACCAAGATGTGTGACTGAGAGAATTAAATAACTCATTTGTTAAATTTACTTATTTCATATGACTATTATATGATATAATAATGCTTTATCTGCTATTTCGCTTCATTAGGCTCAAGCATCTCCATGCTGTTATAGTACTAATTGTCCTTTGGTATGTAAATTACGAAGATCTTTGGCCTTCTTTCATAACAAACAAGATCATTTGCTTTTCTTTGAAAAGGATTTGTCTAGCTTTTAATGTTGAAAACAGCGCTTTCATTTCACCACTTTACCGATATTTAACACAATTCAGTCAACATAATAAAAACCCTTACCTGAACACAATTCAAACAACATATGTAAAAAACCCTGAGCTATTTTCATGAGAACTCTTCGGTATTCAGCAATTAATTAAAACTTAACTTTATCTAAATATTTTAATTGCATTTATTGTTTTCCCACATGACTGACTGATCCATAGGATTCTTACTAGACAAATTATGCATTTAATTTGAACTGAAAATCCTCAATACATGCTGCCTGTGTGACAGGCTTGTGCTTGTGGCAAATTTCCTTCTCTCCCTCAATTGAAAGAACATCTTGTCATCCAACAGAAATGCTCGCGTTTAGGAGCATAAAATTCCATTGCTCCAGAGAGTTTCTCTAGGTCTTTCAGTAATTTACTTTTCGTAATTCTTTTCTCTCAATGCTAAACGAAGAGAGCCAATACTCTAATACCTTGTTTCTACAATGACTATTACATGGTAAGGAGGTGCTTTATCTGCAACTTCTTTTTGATATGCTAGCATCTCTATACTAAAGCTATGGTAAGATTTTCATCAATTTTTTGGTAGAAGTAAATCACAAACATCACCTGTCGTTCTAATTTAATAATAAGCAAACAAGATCATTGTAGCGTTGCTTGTTCATAGACAATTTAATGAATGCCCTTAACACCTATGTACAGCTATTGAAATACTACTCTAATAATATGAATATTTAATTGAATATAATTGATTAGGGAATTAACTACAGACAATCATGTTCACCTCTTTGAAATTGTTTGTCCAGCTTACTGTGTACATGAGCATTGTGATCAAGAATCACTGTTTGGGTGCATGCTACCATTCCATTTAAACTTAAATGCTTTGAGCATTAAAAGGTAACTAAATGGCATTGCTTAGACGGGTTTCTTCAGGACTTTCAATAACTTACTATTGGTAACTATTTTCTAGTGCTACGTGAAAGACCGGCTTTGAGCTAGACAAGAGATCAATTCCTTTCTGTGAACGCACCATCACAAATGATTATATATTGACTTTATCCAAGAAGTAAACTCTTCAAATGGTTTTTTCTTTTCATGCCTTGATTTCTATTACCCATTTGATAATATGCCAGACACGATACTATACTTGATGTAGGAGAAAAATTCTTCATTTTGACTGTAATCATCGTATACCTGAAAGTCGCACAGATGTGTTTCTCGGATCTTCAATGTTATTTTGAATTTTTCATACTGAATAGCATTGAAAAATATCATCTCTGTGACTGTAAATAAAATTGAACTGAATACTTTTTCTTTTGTACTTATACTTTTAGTCCATCATGGTGTATGTACCATACTTTAAGAGAATGTTAAAGCAGCTGTGACATTGTAGACCATTTAATTTTCGCAGAACGCAAATTTTCGTATTTAAATTGTTAATGAACTCGACTTAACGCTTTGAGAAGTTGACTTTGATACAAACGACACACTACAAATGAAAACTGTGACCGCTTGTCAACATCTGCCACAATCTCTTGTATTGTTTTTCAATAAAAAATACGCTGATCTCCATGTGGTTTATGCACGCGCCATGCATAATGACCTAGAACCCAATCTACTAGATATCTGACTCCGCCGAAATTGTATAGTAATGAGTGAGATACGCCATCTTGAATGGTGGCAAAACTAATTAGAAATTTAAACGAGACTTACCTGAAGTCGAAAGTTTAATTGAAATTCTATGAGTTACTGTTAAGGAACTAGGAAGTCATGTAAGATAGAGCGCGCGATATCAAGATCAGTTTTAAAAATTTGCGAACGTCCACATACGTATTGGGAGGCAAGTAGTATTTAACATCATTTGAAAAGAAATAAGTTAGTAGTTATATTCCTGTCCGAACAGTAACTCATAGAATTTCAATCAAACTTCGACTTCAGGTAAGTCCGTTTAATTTTCTAATTCTATTTCGTCACTGTTCTACGTCACTAGGAAGTCATGTGATTTTAAAGCAATGCGGACATGAGCAATAACTAACAAAAGAATATAATTGAAATTTCACAATTCATGTCTCACAAATGGCAGAAAGTAGATCATTACCAGTTCTTCGCCTCAATTGGTTTATTATAAAATGTTTGAAAGTTTGTTCATTACGCCATGTAGCTGCATTCATAATAGTGTCCATAGAAATATTCAATGCGTTTGCCGCAGAAGTTGATGCAGTTCTAGTACTGTGTGCACTGTAAACCTCAGTATTTATACCAGCATCCTTTAACACGTATTTTAACCATCGGGAAATTGTCGCTAAAGTGACCAAATAATAAGGTTTTTGATAGCTTAATAGGAGATGTCTCGCACTATTTCGTATGGGTGCAGTGGCATTTAGATAATGGGACAGTAATTGAATACACATAACCCAGGCTCTGGTGGATAAGCTCGAAATTCTGAAGGAGCAGCATGCTTACCAGGCTTAGATGTTTTGAGCAATTGGTACATAAAACTATTCGATCCTTTCTTCTCCATGTGAGAAATATCCAATGTATGAAGTGTTTGGCATCGCTGACCAGATAATGCTAAAAGCATTACTGTTTTAGTGTTAATGATTTCAAATTGAGAATTTCGGGGTGGAGATTTGAAGATGTTTGAATACCACTGAAACGTCCCAGGTCATGGCATATCTAGGAAGAGCTGGTCTTGCAACAAATACACCTTTAACAAACCTAGCAGCGAATGGATGAGTACAAACGAGATGCCACTTGGTAGCATTAGGATAGTGGATAAGGCGCCCTTGCAGTATTAATACCGCTGTGGGATAAACTTCCTAGAATTTTTACAATTAAATGCCTTCTTCTACAGAGGACACGACAGGATTGATACTGTTTGCGTTGCAATATTGTCGCCAATAGTTAAGGTATGTAGAATATTGGTACCGATCCGCCAAGAGCTTGATGATTTGAGAAGCCTCTGGTGAAATGCCTCTATCAGAGAGGAGTTCCCGATAAATGGCAAAGTAGTAGCTCCAATTTTGTATTGAAGGGTGGATTTGATCCGGATGAGCTGGAAGAGTTAAGGTCATTCTTCCTCTAAATAAAACAACAGGATGCGCTATTAGCATTCTGATTAAAGCTGGCCACCAACTTTGTGTTACCAGTGAGGACTAAGACTAGTCCTGTGCTTTTATCTTGTACTATTTTTTGTAACACTTGCGAATTAATGCTAAAAGGCGGGAACGCATAAAATGTATAATTGGCCCACGATATCGTAAAGGCGTTGACAGCTATAGCATACGGGCCAGGTTGGTATGAAACATATTTCACTTGATTATTCAACCTTGACGCAAGCAAATCAATGTTCGGAGTTACGTTTAGTTTTGAACACACGTAAACAGAGTCTTGTTCAACTGCCATTCTGTTTCTCTGCGTGATATTCGAGATTCTTGATCTCAGTGACATTTTGTAATCCTGGAATGTGCACTGCTGTCAACCAAATATCATACGAAATGCAGCATGTCCAGACATTGCATGTCAACTTGTGAATAGACCTTGAGTGGCATGTGCCCATTTGATTAATGCAAGCTACAGCGGTAGTATTATTAATACCTTAAATGTTGACCTTTAGTTCTGAAGAAAACGACTAAGGGCAAACAATACTGCAAGAATCTCCAATAGTTTATATGATTGGAAGCCTCCAAGGGCGTCCAGTTGCCCCCCACATACAACATTTAGGAGCAGCCCCACTTGTCAACGACGCAACATTAGTTTGGCATTTGCTAGGTTCATTGTGTAATTTGCCGTATGTCGTGCATATTGATGACTGCCACCATCGTAAATCATGTATGGCCGCTGAAGACAGGGTCATTGTCTTGTCAAAATTACCCAGGTTTAACTTAAGGGCATCGCTTTTATCCATTTCCAGCCAGCGATAATGCAACTGACCGTACATTACGCCCGAGACTCGAAGTGCGAGTGCCCAAAACCGAGAAACATCCCTCATTTTGGGTGAGAAGCTTGTAGCAGCTCATGACACATGCGTTTATCTTCTCAGCTCGTTCTGTCGTAACAGATATTCGCATAAGAATTTAGTTGAGGGAAACCCAAAAGTAATTACTTGTGAGGGAACTAAAACTGACTTATCCGGATGTACGTAAAACCCTACTTTAATAAATAAGAAGATGGTATCTCGAATATTCCGAACACATGAAGCATATGTGTCAGCCAAGTATCACCAAGTATCAGCGAAGTATCATCAATAAATCGAACCGAAATATGTCTTTTTTGACGTAAATTTGAAAAAACAGGTTTGAGGAGTTTTTTAAATTTTCTTGGGCAGATGGCTAGGCCGTTAGGAAAACAGACAAATTTATATAGTTGCCCTCTACACCAAAATTTGAGGAATTTTTTATATGCTGGGTGAATAGGTACGGAATAGTAAGCATCTTTGAGATCGATGGATGCCATGAAACAATTTGGTTTCATAAGCCTAATAGATGACCAAACACACTCCATTTTAAAATGGTGATATCTGACATGCCTGTTTAAGGATTTTGGATTAAGAATCATGCGAAAAGAACCGTCTTTTTAAAGTGAAAATTGGAGATACAAATTCCCTGATTCAGGATGAGAAATCTGCAAAACGTCTTTTTGCGTATTTAATTTCTAAATCAATATTGTTAATTTCAACCTCGGGTAGCTGTATTTGGTAAGGCTCTTTATATCGGAATTGTGTCAAATTCAATTTTTGTCCAGACACTGTCTCTAAGATTTTATCAGAGGTGAGTGTTTCCCATGCACTTAAAAAATTGATACGCTGCCAGCCTGATAGTTCTCCAAGCTTTTATTCAAATACGCTATTAGCGTGGGTTAGAAGAATGGTTTACCTGTAAAGTCTTAAAATTTCTTAAATTTCAGTGTTTCTACTTGCGATTATTCATTGTGTCCGATCGTTTCTTCCCGAATAATTAATTATTAAAATTTTAATATGATGGGTTTTTAAAGTTTGTTCTAACTTATTTTTCATTTTGACTTTGCTTTTGCCACCTTTCATGATGGTGTCCTTGCCTCACCTTGTCAAGGTAGTTAGACATCTAGAAGATTGGGTTCTAAATCATTATGCATTGTGTAGTTTTCCTCGAAGACAAATTGCAAGTCATTACTTATTCTGCATTGAATTGGCAATCGCATCTCCTTAAGTTACCTAATTATAAGGACATTTCTTTGACGATGATATTTCTCTATTTAACTCATTATTGAAGATAAACATGATCTGATGACAAAGAACTTTAATTACCATTGCTGTTTGTTGCCATTAGAATAGTGCAATTGTTAAACTGTTTTTCCTAATCACTATTAATTTTAAACATAGTCATAAACAATTTGGTTTTGTGAAATTTATTAAAATAGTGACGTTTCGTCTTGATTCAAGATATCTTCAGATTAATAAGGAAGTTAACAAGAATTATAGATATATATAGAGTTATTTACATATATAGAGTCATTTACATTTATATATCTATACAGCTGGTTTTACTTTTTCTTAAAGATGCTCAAATTGAATTTCATAATAAAATGGCTCAATAGATGCTTTTGAGCATCTAAAAGTATGAACAAGAAAGCAGAAGTTGCTCTCTAATAACATGTCTATTCTCAATCTATACATTAGCCAAAAGTGCTGTCCGAGAGATGCTCTTAGGTCTTATTGAAACATGACTGGAGTTTAGTCATTTACGCTGATCTTCGGTTAGTTTAAACTGTCTTTCCACTTTACCAAAAATAATAAGTCTTTAGATGTTTGTTTGTTGGAAATTTGATATTGCAACAGAGTGCTTCCGTCGAATAAGTTGTTAAATAAGAATATGTCGTGTTATCCTATAATGTTTTAGCTTATGCTTAATAGACCATAAGCCCCTGAAGAAGTCAGTTAAATTTTCAACAAACTGTAGACAGTAAAACTATAGGTATTAAACTCTATTTGAATATATCATCTGGTCAACGTTTTGCATAGAACATCAAGATACGCACAGCTGTTGAGCACAATGCGCAACAACACTCACGTAGGCTTTAGCGCATGGTCTCTATTTCCTTAAACACTCCAAGTGTCATTAACATCACAATCATTCGTAGATCGTTCGTAAAACAGCTTTCTCGTCCTTTTCATGATATTTCAGAAAACCCAAAGATGGCTTTATTCCAAAACAATGTAGCAGTGTTGCTGTTATATGTTGCGCTGATTGAGAGCTGTGCGTGCAACCCAAATACAAGGATATAAAATGTAAGTAATAAGATATTCTTATTAGGTCTATCCTTATTTAGCTTTATTCTCAACATGCTCGGCAAATCAACTGCTGAACAAAGAGCTATAATTAAGCCTCATAACAACATTTATTATGTATGACGGAACTAAGACTAAACCAAGTCGTAAATTATACCTTAAAATAACGTTTAGCGTTGCAGTAATGTAGAAATATACTGATTTGGCGAAGAGTGCTGTGAACAATGTAGAAAACCACTGTAAAATTTCTTCTGGCGTTTATATTGAGAACGTCGATTCTGCAACCAGTGAATAACAGACATCGGTAAAAATCATATGATTGGCATTTTTGACATTTCGTCAGCTCACATTTTGAAAATTAAATTAGACTGATATTATTAATAAACAATGTAACAACTCTGAATTCTGTTTTCTGACTTGATGGCGACGGAGCAAGCTCATATTAATTATCATTTCATCTTTTGCCTTTCGTCAAAGGGCATATGACGTGAAACTTGTGCTATTGAAATGATACATTCATTAAACATAACTTTCAAATTGAGAGTGTACCTTTTACAACAGTTTGTTCGCGTCACTAATCGTTCTCAAGATATTCTAGTTTATGTAATAACCTTTTTACACAACTAGTGACTTCACATTGCACGATGAGAATTTTAAATAGCAGGTACCAGTGAACTCTTTTAAAAGATTGAAACATTAACTCCAATACATTGAAATAAATTATACCTAGAACGACAACTCCCATAGTTTTGTCCTATGCTTGTCTGAAGCCAACATACCTCTAAGATTTGTCAAACTTCTCCCTGAAATAATGCCTTTTTTCTCGGCGACCGATGTTTGTTTACCTTCTTTCCAGAAGAAAAACGTGAAAGAAGTGATTTAGTGTTGTTTTTTGCCTCATATTGTGCTTTATTGCATCTAACAGAATTAGCTCATGCTACAGCAAGATATTTTCGAAGGAAAAATATCCAGTTACGTTATAAAAAAAACACATTTACACACGCTAGTTTGTTGTTAAGCTTAAAGTGTATAAAAATTTTTCGTTGTCTTAGATGAAATATCTCCAAAACCTGAAGTGGACTCTTTTTTTAACATTGTTTGCATGCTTTGTTTGGGATGTATGTTCATTCATACTAACCAAACAAGTACAACACAAGCAGGTTTGTAGCGCAACAACAAAATAAAACATGATTTTAAGATACATATATTAGGAAACGATCGACAGAACATAAATTCTTCAATTTTTAAATTATTTGATAGCACAAATACATTGCACATATTCAGCTCTCATTATACAGAATATCTCCAAAAACTGCAGTGGACTCTTTTGTTATCATTCATGTTTGCATGCTTTGTTTGGGATATATGTTCAGTCGTTTCCTAATCAGTATAGGCTTCATTCATACTAACCAAACAAGTACAACACAAGCAGGTTTGTAGTGCAACAACAAAATAAAACATGATTTTAAGATACTTAAATTAGGAAACGATCGACAGAACATAAATTCTTCAATTTTTAAAATATTTCATAGCACAAATACATTGCACATATATAGCTTTCATTATACAGAATAAAAATGTTATAGAAAATCCAAAAAACGCACAACACATTCAACAACATAGTTGTATAGTTTGATGACATCGTTTGAGCGAATGATCAAAGAAAACGTTTGTGTGTACGTATACAGTGTAGCTGTACTTTCATGATATTTTTAACGAATACTGCAATCCGTTTTAAAGGTAATATCGTGGTTCGGAGTGTAGAAGAACAATGTTTCGAAATTGCCAACAGTGAAATTTAATCTATAACATGAAGTTCCTAAGGTTCTTCTATTGTGAAACTTTTATGATTATATATGACTGACATTTTTTTACAAATTACAATTTGATTTCCTTCTATGAATTTATTAATGTTGTTTTGCTGGGGCATTTAGCTGGCATTTCATTAACTGAAGATGCAAATAAACCCCTTTTTGTAAAAGTATTATATCTTTTACAGTTGTATCGAAAGATCTACGTTATCAACGCAGGCTTGTTGGTGAATGGGTGCTTATCAATTGCACAGTTAATTACCATGACATTAATGTTCAACTTTTGGATGAAAACGAGAAGCCTTTACATGTTGAGAACAAAAACATTAAAATTGTAGCAAAAAATATCTTTAATGTGACAAAAGTAACACAAGACATCAAAGAGTACATCTGCAAAGCTTGCAATGAGAAAAGAACTATACGTGTCATCCCTCAAAAAAGTTGGTATTTTGTATGTTTTTAGATACTGTTTATTTCATACCTTCTTGGCACGAGTGTCATTACCGAGAAACGTGGTAAATTAAACTATAATGTTTCCAAAATCATGTTTTAAAATAGTTTTTGCAGAGTCTTATATCATTTCTACAATGTGATATTGCCAATTTCAATGATTTGAAAACAAATTAATATGAGCAAGTGATTTTGAATACATTGATCTGTCTAGGAATTCATAGGCCCCTTTGTCTCTTCTACAGGTGTGCCATCCATGCGAATCCTTCAATTACGGTAGAAAACTGAATATGATCTTGGTGACAAGGTTTCGCTAGATTGCAATATTGCTGGTATTCAATTCATATATGCTTCCATATACTATAAATTTTTGGAAGAAGAATGGAAGAAACAAAGAAAAATGTGAAACAAAAACTGTAAAGAACGCTATATTACCGCAGAATCTGAAGGAACCTACTTATGCTTGATAGAAAGAAAGTATGTTAATTATAAATCATACAGAAGCTTTACTTTGAAAGTCAGGTAAAGTAAATGAAAATGTTTTAGTTCTTATTTCTCAAAACTTCAGTGTGTATTAAACGTATATAATTCTCTAAAACTAGACGCTTTGGAATAAGCAAAGACGTTTATGTTATGATTAATTTAAAGTTCTGGTACCGCTGGTAATTTTTTTAAATGTGAAACAACCGATAATAAAGTCTTTAAAAGACAGGCCATGCGCACGAAATATTCTCATCAAAAAACAATTTTATCACACTGAGTAAAAACATGGCTGTGTTTTACAAGCTTTCAGACAATTTGGGCACGCCTGCCCACAAGAGATCTTTAAAACTTCGATTTTTTGCGTTTATGCCTTTTAAAGGGTTGTTTACTTGATCCCGGCTAACCGGGATTCAGCAAGCCTGTAATGATTTTGGGTCATTGAAGGAGTCAAAACTTGAGCGTCAAACTTACAACATTTTCTTAAGCGTCATAAGTCATTTTAGTAGAGTTAGAACTCTAACGTTTGTATTAAAGGCTAGAAAAGAAACATTTGGACTTAATCCCAAACAGGGAGGGTATCTTTGGAGCAACGTACGGAAATCAAATTCCAAAAATGGATTACCCATCTACATGCTGACCAGTTATGATTCAGCCTGATAAAGAATCAACTAGAAACACTTACAGTCTGTCTCTAGAACACAAGCTTAGAGAGAACATAAGCCCATTGGCTCACCTTCTCGTGAAAACGTAAGACGAATTTGATGAAATTAACACCGGTGACCGGTCAACCTGACCATCTAAATCATGAAGAGAAAAGAAAAATCTGGAAAAAAGCCTCATCAGAAACCAAGGTGTTGAGAAATCTGATTAAACACACTCACTATATAAAAGTGAAAGGATGAAACGACGATTTCTTGAAGCAAATCATGCATGAGGAAGATAGATTAAGTGTAGATGCATGAAATGCTAAGGACAATATAATCACCTGCTCAACAAGCAATCCGAGTATTGAGAAAACGTCCAACCTGAATGCACCTTCTTCCAAAACTATTAGATTTATTTCAACAATATGTTGTATGGGAATAGGCTTCCGATAAAACACTTAAAAGACAACTTTTGATTTAGTACAAAGCAAACTGCTCTTAAATAGCCCAAATCACAGTGAACCCTGAAATATAGCCACAGATGAAACCACATCAAAGTTCAGCCAATTTTTCATTGATAAGCAAGGTCATTTGATATACTAAAAACAAAAAGAACTAAATGAACCATCAGCTAAATCTTCTTACAAACGTGTAAATTCCGTCGCCTTAGTACACAACCCATGTCAATGTTAAGCATTATACTGCAGAATTCTAGCACCATAGGCACTTTGAAGACGACGGGAAATATGTGTTCTACCAAACTGACCCAACTCTATTCTAACTATGCAAATTTTGTCTTGTAAGTGACACAAAGGGAAACAAATCCTCTTCACAGTGCCTATAGAGAAAAATCAAATAATCTAAATATACCGGAAAGTGCCCAGAGGACTATTTTAACATCGTGAAAATGGATCATATTTGTCGACGATCATATCCTCGTGAGATGAAATAAAATTGGCGAAAATCAGTTTGTAAGATTAGTTTAATTGAGACCGTCACCACTTCGTTAGATAAATATGAAACATAGAAACAGCGCTATATCACTTCAAAAACAAAGCAAATAACCTAAGAAATTTCATTTTCATGGATGTGCAAGAGTAAAATGTCATGACGAAGAAAACAAAAAACAGTCGATGGCATAAACATTAAGCATAGGTTTGCGGGTAATTCGCTTATCGTACGCTGTTATAAATGGTCATTTAATCTCTCTTGGTCATCTACACTAATCAATAAACATTTTTGTAAAATTGTTCTTCACATTTTTCATGTTCTTTCTCTTTTTTTCATTTTAAAGCATATCGAAAGCGCATTTTCAAGCATTATTTAAAGCCTGTTTTTTCAACTCTAGAGCTTGCCACACCCAAAATTTACATTGAAAACGACGCAGACGAGTTCTCACTTGGTGAAGGAAAGAATTTGACGTTTACCTACAACGTTACGTCTTATCCTGCTGCCGATATCTTTTGGTGGCGTTTTATAAAGATCCAACTATCAGTTACTAACACGTTGTTTTGCCTTAACAACACTGCAAAATCATGACGGACAAGAAAAATTACAACAATCGAAGTAAAGTTGTCAGATTCCTGATGATTAACCTATCAGATCTTTATCAGATAAAGGAAATGAGATTAAGAAGATTTCAATAAAAAACTAGGTCAGTCCTGTTTATTTACAAAGAATATAAAACTGAAATTTTAGCGTAAAACATTTGCATACAAACGAAAGGCAAATAAATGGCATTTGTACATTATGCGGTAAGGCAAAACTTCAGATTAGAAGGTCAATCTTTAATTCATCCATGATATCATATAAAGATCAGTTTCCGTTTTTCATTTTTTTTCAGTTGTACCTGAAATTGACATTAAAGACACAAAAAGATTTTTAAAGAAAGGATTTTCGGTCCTAAACTGTACGTTGAAGAAGAAATTTGACCTACAAGAAGTAACCTTCAAATGGTACATGTGCCAATCTCATATCTGCCATGATCATAAGAACGAGATGGAATATATTTCATCAAACTATTCTTTAACAGTGAAGATAGAGGGCAGGTATCGCTGTACTGCCAACAATAGCGGTGAAATAAATACATCACCAATAATACAGAATCCCAGGTAAGTTTCATTATCGACCTTCTGTTTCACGTTGAAATGTGCAAACATTGTCTCACTTGATCTTCATTACGATTTCGTTGCCATACATATATCAAAGCAATTGTGTTGAATTAATGCAAAATTATCAAGACTTTCATAAAATTTTACAGTTGAACGAAAACCATTTCAACAAAAGAGTATAAGTACTGAGCAAGGTATTTTATACATCCAACCTATAATTTAAATAAAATCTTTATTGCTCGCAAACAACTGTTGATACATTTAACCACATCGTAAGTGACTTTTTATTTGTCAAGTTTCACATTGTGGCTGGAAAAAATGATGATGTTGGTCATATTTATAGGCGTCTCCTCACTTTGATTGCTTTTGTTTAAAGTGAGAAATGGGGATTGAATGAAGAATGGAGGAGAAAGGAGAAGGGAGAAGAAAGAATAAAATTCAGTAAGTTATTTTTGAACATAACTATGTCTGGCATGGATAACTAAAAGTAATGGAATGGAGAGCGACAATGGACATGGTGGATATTATGTGGATAATGAAGGAATGGAAATGGAATGGGGAAAGGAAATGGTCCAAGGAAATGGAGAGAAGGGTCGAAGAAGAAGAATGGAAGACAGTTACGTGTACAGCAGAGAAGTTAAAGTTGCTGTGAAGAAAATCAAAGGTTTCGCTGTTATAAACATTTCCATTAAGATTATTATTCATATGTTTCATTGCATGGTTTTAATGAAAAATATAAGATTGAGCAAACAGATAAAATTAATTGTTATTGAATACAAGCGGAAGGAATTTACTTTTTTCCAGGTGGCATTTTTATATACAATTTAAAGACTTTGTGTATACGATACCCTGCCTGCAAGTTAAAACCTAGTAAAACTATTATTTGAAATATTATCAGTCTTTATAATTATATGGCAAGTTGGGTTTTAAAAAGGTCGTTTTCTTTGTTGATCGTAAGCATATATCAACATTTAAGATTAATAACCTTGATAGCTAAGTCTCAGTTTTTAATTTAATGATTTTTCTTTAGATGATGGGGATCGAAACAAACTCATTGATTTGCAGTCAGAGTTGAAAATATTGATTCATGTTGGCGAAAATGAAAACATTGAAAACATTAGGAGCTTGTTGTTTATATTTTAAAGCGGGTTATTTGTTGAGCACTAATAACCATTCACACTTTTGAGGCTGATTATTGAACTAAACAATAATAGGAAAATATACGTTCATCCTAAATGGAGTGAAGTTACGTAATTTAAGTAAAGAATTATGATTGGAAAATGAAAAGTCATGTTCACACATGAGAAAGTTCCTTCACATAATGGCTTAAAAAATATCCCAACGAATAACGATGTGGCGAAAAGAACTTAGAGAGTTGCCTTTCTTGGGGAAACCTACATGTATGTGCATCCGCTGAGAAAGATTTTTGCGTTAAATTATTTGATTATAGGTGAAAGAACAAGTTTGTGTATCATTACGGAGTTCTGTGAACACGGAAATCTTCGTCAATTTCTCCGTGACAGTCGAAACAGACATACAATCAAGACAAGGAATACCTGATGAACGATTTATCACTAGATTTTGGACCACAAAATCTGATTCAATGGGCGTATCATATCAGGCATGGAATTCTTAATATCCAGGAAGGTATAATAATATAAACCTACACCTGGGCAAAGAGGTGTATTGTAGGTGTGATAGCTTTGTATGTATATATTGTGTTAATGATGGAGTAGAACGGACAAATAGCGATAGCTTAAAGGAAGAGAAAAGAAATGAGCAAAATCACGCGAGAGATTTTTGAACAAAGACGAACGTACCAGTTTATATTTCTGGGTTCTTCAACTGTACAATTCTAAGCTTAAGATTTTCATTTGCAAGCATTAGCAAACTTAAAGATAAAGGCTCAATCGAAGTCAAGTTGTCGAATACTCGTTTAAAGATAGTTTTTGTTCGTCTCTATGGGTGTTAAATAAGATTTTTGTTGCTTTGTTGAAATTTATTGATGATACATAACGTACTGCGTGACCGTGAAAATAAGACAACATAAAATAACTAACAAAACACTACAGGTTTTCACTACAGAGTTCAACTGAAAGAGTTTAGAGAGAATTTTATTTCAATGCACGAATTTTCAAAACACATTTGTTTTGTTAAACTAACAGATCATTCACCGGGACCTAGCTGCTCGTAACATTCTACTTGGTACAGTACATAGCCAAAGTTGGAGACTTTGGCTTGGCAAGATATTTTACAAGTATCAAGTTTACACGAAGAACACACCGGTTAGTGCTTGCATTTGAATCACTAGCTTTTTGTGCGATCTTTTTGGCATTATTCTTCAGTTCATGATAACAACCCTTGATGATAGGGATTACTTCCTTTGAAGTGGATGGCAATTGAGTCAATCAAGGATTCTGTTTACACGGAGAAGTCTGATATGTATGATTTGCTTATATAAAATGTCATATATTTTCACTTTTTTAAGTTTACTAACAATTCTACATAATTGATTTAGGTGGTCGTTTGGAGTAGTTTTATTTGAACTGTTTACCCTAGGTAAGCTTCTATAAACACGTAAGAGAAAAATAACGACAAATAGAAATTTAATAATGACTGATGATGGAAACTAGTGAAACTCTTAAGGGCGATTACAACTAAAACAAAAATTTGTATGCTGAGCGTACAAGAGGGTAGCCTGGCGTACTTGTTTTCATCCCCTCAAAAAGGCTTGCCACAAACAAAACAGTGGCGACGTCCTGAAGAAATTTCACAAATTTAAAAGATTAACTCAATGTTCAACGATTTATCTTTGAAACGTTTTGTGAGGAAGTCGTTCACTCACGAGAAATCGAACATGTTTACTTTCCTGTATTGAAAATATTGACAATACAATATTGTCAATATATAAATTAGCCAAACAGATCGTTTTAAGAAACCCACAACCGCTTAGTTGTATACTATTTATTTGAAAATCGTGCGACTTTTCTTCTGATTCAAGACATCTTTAGATGAAAGAGATTATGATACTAGGATGTATATACAAAATGAGATTTAAAGCTAAATTTTAGATGTTTAAATGTTTGAAAAGGGCATGAGCGTGACTACCCACAAAAATCATTCTCGGTTCAAATAAGTGTTGCTTGTACAACATGATTTAAACCTTCAAATGTCTTTCAGGTGGGACACCGTATCCCGGCTTACATGTCAGTGAAGTATATGCCCATTTGCTTAACGGAAATCGAATGGTGCCACCCATCAACTGTCCTGACATCATGTAAGAAAATATTTAATACATCATTCGTCAGTCTTTTCACAATATTTCTCAAAGATATAATGAAAAAACTATGGTCCATGCGTCAATAAAGCAATTCTTGTTGCTAAGTATACAATTATTTACAATTACATTTACAATTACATTTAACAATTACATTACGAGCTCGACATTTCTATGTGGTAATAGTTGATGAGGGCGAAGCCCCAATCATTTTTCGCATCATAGAAATTGAGAGCGAGTACTCTAATTGTTTTAGTAGAGTCATAATAGTATTCATAAACAAAAAGTAAATAGTTCTCTTTAACATTTTACGCATTTCTATTGTTATTGTTTATACCAAAAGCGAGTGACCCTTGCTCAATATATGGTTAGTTATTTTAATTTTATTTTTATTTTACCTTATCTTAGCGTTCTATTAAGTGGCAACTTAGTCGTATCTAGAATTACTTTCTTAAGTAAAACGCGAGACACCAAGGTCGGCAGCCAGATTTTCGCTATCAATTACTTCGCTACTCGCTATCAATTTTTCAATTGTGAGTAGCAAGACAATCAAATTAAAGTATTTGCTATAGAATACTATTGTGATTTTATATATATTCAGTTTTCTAAAGAGGATGTAATCTGACTTCAATCAGCTGGTGTGCATAAATTACTAAATAATTTAACGTGATTTCTTCATATCAGGAAAGACAAGTATTCCAGCTATCGAATATCATGTTATTTGTAGAGTATAGAGGGAGGGGGGTGATAAGCAAATGCGAGCACGTTTTAAAATCTACCTCGTATTTTATTTCCAAAAGAAAAACAAATTATTGACAAAAAGTGTCCTAAACAAACTTTAATAATTAATACACTCATCATCCTCAAAACCTATTTACACACAATCATTTGAAATGTTACAAAACTTCTGCCAGTGCAGGCTGACTTAAGTTAGACAGAATGCATAATAGTTTCATACGTTTAATAGTAACTACTCTCATAAGACTGTTCAAGAGAGAATTATAATCAAGCCGACAGCTTTTAGTAATTTATAACAACTTAACTACTTAAGTTTAACAATGAACAATCTTGAACATTAGCTACCTCTTCAATATATTCATGCCCTAATTTTACAGTTTTATTGTTAAGTGGTTTTTTAGGGAGTAGGGGTTGGGGGAGGGGTGGGACGACTTTAAATATAGGTTCTCGTGTCTAAGTCAAGATTATTTTTCATATAAAAAAATTCTTTTAAAGCATAATCGGTTAGATTCTGATGACGATGATAAATAGAACTGAAATAAAGTGGATATGAATGTGAATCAACCTTATATATTTGCAGTGCTGATTTGATGAAGAAATGTTGGATTGAAAATCCACAACTTCGTCCAACATTTAAAGAAGCGAAAAAAATGGTACAAAAAAATGTCCCGACAATTTCATCCATTGAAAAAGTGAAGGTAAATTATGTGATACAACAACGAACTACATTAAAAAATGGTTGATGAAAGATAGCATTTAGTTTCTTCATGTAGCGTTCTACCATATGAATATCTTAGCTAAAGCATTTTAAAATCAGCTTCATAATGTGTATTACTGAAATGAATGCTGATGAATGCTGATGGTAATCTGTTACAAATTTTGATAAGGATATGCAAATCCTATCACAACGATAAAATGTTTGAAACGTCAAAAGATGTGCTGAGTTAAGAGTGCCTATTAGAACTGTAATCTTAATGGGGTGACAGCTCGTGTTCAGGCGGGCGGTTGTTTATCAATAAGTTGTAGTTTGCACACGGAACCTTTACAACTTTTTGATCACAAACACTTTAATTTATCAAAAACGAGTGCCAAGTCCGTGTGTGATGATAACGAACCGCAGGCCGATGAAAAGAGCCTGAGAGTAACTAGATCAGCTCCTGCGCTTAGCGTGAAGTCTCGGTAGAGTATGACTGGGCTAGAAAGGAATAAACTACACCTGCGATCGGAGCAACTAAAACAGAAGCAATTGTTAGAGCGAGAGGCTCGTGTCGTTGAGCTAGAAATTGCAAACATAAATTTGAGTTGGAAGAGAAACAAGGGTTGTCAGAGCTTGCCGAAAGAAAAGAGCTGTTGGACATGGAAGCTAGGCTAGCGGAGGCTGAAGTTGACGAGCGTTTCGAAACTGACAGCGAGAAATGTTCGGAAGCAGGTTTTAATGAGATGCGTGAAGCAGAAGTACGCGAATTTCGAAGTGAGGGATTACGTGAAGCAAATAATTTCAAATATTACGATCGGTTATGCAAAGCCATGGTCGAGCTAAGAGACTTTATGAATCGTTGTTTTGTGAAGAAATAAGTCGCAGTGAATTGCTTGAAAGAATAAGATGTCGATATGGGAAGCAACACAACATCTACGTTTCATCATCAAGTAATTCATGTACTGATAGTCAACGTAGCAATCTAAGTTATGACATAATCCATAACCCAAAAAAGATTGGTATGAATATCAATAAGAGGCGAGTTGTACTAATCCAAACATTCACCAGCAAGGTTTCTTAGGAACCCAATACAAAATACCCTTCCCAACCATGCGAGTCATCCTGTCACTAAAGATGAGCAGTCGTCAGCACAAGCTGAAACATACCATATTCCAACATTCCAAGACAATCAGAATCCAAATCTACAGATGCTCAGACTGGTCATTTCAGAAAGACCAATAACATTAACATTCCAAACTTGGAGGGTCCTGCAGTAACGACACTTATCGGGACAGACGGAAGTAACTGGAAACTGGAAGAAAGGAGAGGTAGGGAATCATATGCGAAAAGAACACCTTTAGGATGGTCGGTTGCTGAACCAATAAAGCGAATTACTCGTAATGAAATTAGTAGTTTCTGTGTTTGGACCGGTGACAAATATAAAATAAAAAAGGTTGATCAGATGTTCAATTTTCATTCCAGCCAATCACTATATGATGAAGAGCAAGTAATGTCTCAAGAAGATATAAAATCATACCAGATGATGGTCAATTCAGTTAAAGTTGTGAAGAATCACTATCAACTCGATTTAACATTTCGAGAGAGAACGCCTTTTCTAGATAATCGACCTATGGTCAAAAGGAGAATGACGTCTCTCAAATTGTGCTTTAGAAAGGATAAGGGGCTACACAAAAATTACACATCAGGAATTAGCAAAAACTTAATTAAAGGTTATGCAGCCAAAGTTCCGGCTACGGTTTAAGGTTATACCTCGATTGGAGTCAACCGCTGCTGTAGTTGTTGCCAGACAACATCGAAAAATCTAAGAAGAACTCGGCATAGATATTCATAAGGTCATATTTTGGACAGATTCAACATGCGTCCTTCAATACATCAAGAAGGAAGCCAGCCGTTTTAAGAGTTTCATGGTTAATAAGATCGGAACTATCCATGAGATATTAAGCCCTTCACAATGACGTTACCTGACTAGCGAGGTAAACCCAGCAGATCATGCATCAGGAGGTCTCAGTCCCAGTGAAGATGTAAAGGCCAAGCACTGGATACATGGACCAAGATTTCTTTATGAGAACGAAATAAGATGACCTGAGTCGTCAAAATCCACTTCTAAACACCAAGAGCAATTGAAGTGGAAGAGATCGGCCGAACTATTCGAAGCCATTGTAAGCAAGGCTCAACCATAAGATTAGTTCATTCAGCACTTCTTGTAGTGGAATCGTCTTTTGTTTTGTACAGCATGGCTAATTCGCTTCATGCACTAACAACGATTTCTTGTTTTTAACAAAAGTGATAAAAGAAGTTCTCACCTATTCCGGTGATTTAGTTAATGGGGCCGGAGCTGCACGTCTTACTGTCGTAGAAATGGAGTAGGCTAAAGTAATCCTCTTGCGACATGTCCAACCACAGTATTTTCCACAGGAAGTGAAGAATTTCCAATGTTCGTCTAGAGTTATCTTAATCGCGTTGCTGCTCTTCAAAGGAAATAATGGCTTCTTGAGAGTTGGTGGTAGATCAGAAAAATCGGATCTTCACTTCAACGCAAAGTTCACCCTATCATCGTTTCAAAGAAACATCGTATTGTGGACTGCACTATCAAACATGTCCATGAGAACATCAGGCACATGGGGGTGCAAGTTGTTCTCGCTGCAGTTCAAAAAAATTTAGGATAATCAAAAGCTGTTTGAGGATTCGTTGGATTGTCTTCTTAAGTTTCCATTGCCGCACACATTACTCTCGATAGAAGATCTTCCTCGAGCACGTCTCGTGGATTCTGAGTACACATTTTCAGCGACGGGAGTCGATTATTTTGGTCCGTTGGTGTTGAAGCAGGGCAGTAGTCACTTGAAAAGATACGGCAGTGCGATTATCCGTCTAGAAATAAGAGCTGTTCACATTAAAGTTTCAAATACCCTATACTGAGTCGTTCCTTTGTTCCTTTACTCGATTTACAGTACGAAGAGTTTCTCCAAAAGACATACATAACGACGATAGGACTAATTTGTTGGATCAAATACAATCTTGAAAGAGGAGTTTGAGAAATTAAGATGTGAAGAGTCACAAAAGAAGATTTGTAAGCGCTTGTTGCAGGAGAAGACGACCAGGCATTTGAATCCGCCAATAGCAAGCCACACAGGTGGAGTTTGGGACAATATGATATGATCAATCCGTAAGATTGTGACGGCGTTAGTCAGTGAGCAGACAATTGACAACGGCACTTTAAGAACGTTCGTAACTGAAGTAGAAAGAATTATCCACGATCGACCTCTTCTTCACTATTGTGGCACAGGCCTTGATGAGTCAGATGCTTTGAAGCCTAGTAAGCTGTTGCTGTTGTGTTCCAATACGCGTGCCGCACCTAAAGTGTTTGTGGGTGGCGATCATTGCAGCCGGCTTTAGAGACAAGTACAGCTGTTAGCTAATGCACTTTGGAAGCGTTGGATTGCTGAGTACATTCCGATACTCCATAAAAGACGGAGGTGACTGCAGCAAGTAGGTAACTTAAAACTCAATGATCTCGTCTTGATGGTAGATAAAGATTATTCACTAGAACGTTGGCCGATGGCTATAGTGACAGAGGTGAACCCAGATGAAAATAGAATAGTACGACGAGTAACGGTACGAACCAGAAATGCAACCTATCGTAGAAGTATTCACCAACTATGTCTCTTGGAGGAAGGCGAAAAATTCGGGGGTGAAATGTAAAGATGTTTGTCTTATCGAGTTTTGTTAGTGCTATAAGTACAGATATTTATGGTAACGATCTTATTCGATTGGGGCCTGTGTTAGATCTGTTGCCTCAATCGGGTGGCTGCCCGTGTCCAGACGCTTTTTAAGTGTGGGTAATGTCATGAATTTGGCAAATTACTTCAGTTTGCATGTTTAGTACCTAACTACCACGAAGATCATTTTTGGAATGCAAAAATGGTTGCTTTGTAGGACGAGAGATGGCAAGATGATTTAGGGGAAACAACTTGTGTTTTCCCCATGTTAGACGCAACTTTAAATATCATTAATGAAAGAAACACAATGAAACGCTTGCGCTGATTGGTGCATTGCTGAGTTTGCAATGACCTGTGCAAACCGATATGAGCTTGATCAAACAAATTAATTAAGTAATTACTCGAATAAATGTTAAAGGAAAAATTAAAACATTTGTTTTAAATTATCTGTTTCGTATTTTTGCTATTTTATGAAAGAAGTAGAAGATGTCGTTTTTATGTTTCCATTGGCTCATGCAAACCTTGCACTGATCTCCTCTCGCGTTCTCCAAAACGTCTCCTAAATTTAAATGAGCCAACGCAGACACAGTAAACATCATTTACTTCTTAAATGCTTAAAAAAATAATTATTTCTTTATGATTCTAGGATTTGGAAATTTATGAGCAAAATCAGAACATATCGACAAAAATGTCGCAGTCAGAAGCAGAAATTAAATTATTCAAGGAAAGAAAAATGGAAGAGATTCCAATGGCTTAACCAATGGCTTAAATCCTTTTTTGACTTCACATTCATAAAAATTGAAGTTGAGAAAAATATCGTTAGATCGATGACAAATTGTCTTATATATATTGACTTATATAGCCTGGATACATTACAATTGTATTGAACAAAAAAGAATGAGCATATTTTAACGCTAGTGTGATGTCCACACTTGTTAAATAAGAAGATATATTTGAAATCAAGTCTTTATCCAAGTACTTTTTTGCTTTTTCATTGAAAAACGTTTGCAGAAATGTAGAGGTTTTATTTAAATTGTTGTGTACTTTTTGATTAGAACCAAGGGCAGAAGAATGTAGGGCTAAGGGGCTGCTCACCAATAATTAAAAGGGGGGTGCTAAGCCCCCTCCCCCCCCCCAACAAATATTCCATTGTAACAAAGAGCTTTTCAATATTCTTCCCAAAACAAGTCCTTGTTTGACAGGGGGAATACATATTAGATTATCTCATTCTGCCTTTCTCATAGAGAATGAAATATTTAAAGGACAGTATTTAATTTTCCTGAATCTCTGACTAATATTTTGCTCAAGGGATAAGATTGACACCCCTACCAAGACTTTTCTTGTTATTCAGCCCCCACACAAAACCAAACATCTTCTACTGCCAATGTCTAGAACACACTGTTATGATAACATATAAAGATGGTCAATAACCAAGTTGTAATACCAAGTTGTAAATATTCTGCTAATTATAACATGTTGCAATGAAAAGTAAAGCCTGAATTACATAAGAGAAGCTTTCAAAAGACAATATTCTGGTTTCTATGGAGGGCTCTTTAAATTTGGTCAAATATATTACAATTGAAAATATGATAACAAAAATTCTGTACATCCAAAATAGTATTTAAATGTTTACTTTACTGAAACTAAAATGACAGCACAATATATTCATAACACAAAGAATAAGTCCACTGAACTTCAGTGACTGAACATCAAACAATCCCATTTATAAAATCAAAGAATTCAGTGACAGTAAATAATTTCCCCATTTGCTTCACACTGAAGACCATTTAGAAATTGCAATTATGCATTGCAACCCATGTACACTTTTAGACAAACACGGTATGCATGTTTCTATGTATAGAGTAATTTTGTGTGTTATTTGATTTTAGTATTTTATTGAAATGTATTTACAGAAATACCAGCAGCTATGGCCAGAATATGACCTGTATCTACTTCATTTACCAGACACAATCTTAATTTCATAACAGTTTTGGGTAAAAAACATGATAGAGCTTGAAACTAGTGTCAAATCCTAAATCTGGCAGAAAAGCTCTTAAATTTAGATCTCACGACATAGCATTTTGGTTGAATATAAGTTTTTTCATATTTAATATTGTGCAAATTTCGAAGATGTCAGATTAGTCACGTGAGGCCGTGAGATTACATGAAGGAGGTATTTTGGTAATTTTTCGAAACGTTTTCTCTTTGCTCCAATGAAATGTAAAATACAGTCAAACCTGTATTAAGCGGTCCTGCATTAAGTTGACACCCTGTATCAAACGGACACTTTAGGCCGAAGACCATTGTGCTCAAAAACATAAATTTCTGCACACCTCTCAAAACTAAAAGCTTCTTCATAGTGTTATAGAGAAGAAGTAATCAATGGTGCCCTAACCACTAACACACCAGTGTGGATACCACTAACCACAATTATGAAAATGGATGAAATGCTTTTTGATAGCATATAAAACATCCCAATATAAGAATGCTGTACGGCGTCTCATTCCCCATATTCGCCAGTTGATATCACTTCCCACCTTTCGAGGGAAATTTTAGTATTCATATTGTACTGGGCCACAAATTCTTTCATTCAATTAAAAGAATCATTTATATTACCACATGAAGTAAATCTTAAAACTTTCAGCAATTCACTTTGTCAAAAGCACGCTATACAAAATGATGTTTGCGATAATGCACATAATTGTTTTCGTGTCCAGAATTTCATAACTTTTCAGCCCCGTATATTTTGATTTAGTTCGGGCTGCACTCTCAACAATATTTACCACTTTAGGTAGTATTTTGTAGAATAGCTCTCCCAGCATACAAATAAAAATTTTCTATAGAGTTTTAAGCGAATTATAGAGTGCAGCATTTATAAAATCTAAGCTATAAAATGATATATGACAAAACTGTTTACTGTTTCTTACAATCTTTTCCACGTAAAATTTACCAAAAAAATAAAAAATGTGTATTAATAAAAATATAACACACATAATAATGATCATAAACTTAAAATTTGTATTGTCGTTTTATTAAATATTACTGCGTCAAGATTTTCTTTAATGTTTGTCGACATATTCATTTCACTACACACATATTCAAAGCTTGCTTTTCATCTCCAACAAAATTGTAAAACGAAAGTTTTTCTTTTATTTTACGTATAATTTTACACATTAATGAATGCCAGTTCCAATGTTGAAAAGTACACACGCGCGGTGACGTTAAAGTGTCGTGTCCAAAAGGTGCAGTGATGACATCAAATAATATCTATATGCCATATGTTTTTAAAGATAAACTTTAAGTGGAATTCAAAAAGGCATTATTTCAAAGTGGGATATTAATTATCATTGTTTGGTTGCATATAGGAGGCATACAGCACGCAAAAATAAAGGAAGTGTCGAAAAAAGCTGTAAGTTTTTAGATTGCTGTTGCGGTAGATCAGGTAGACTTAAGTTCGACATGAAAGTAACTTGACATGTTGTTTAAACTTCGTATAACACATGATTAAAGAAGAGCTATCAGCTATCAGACTGTTTTATTTTATTTTTTTACTCATAAAAGATCAGTTGTCTTTTTATGCTTTAGCAAATTTTTTGCAGTTGTACCTAAAAAGTGTTTTACCAAATGAATACAAGATAAAATTTGGAAACAGAACGATATTGACCATATTTTTCAATACCTGTCCTTGTCCATGAGAAAACTGTATTGAATGAGTCAATACATTTAGACAGGGGGATGCTAGGTATAGTAAAGTAGAGTTGACACATGAACTTTTTCTTTTACGGTTGTTGCTGTGAATTTTTTTCATAAATTGTTTTAATACCAAATTTAACATGAATTTCTCATTGATTTTTCGATTTAGATTGTTTCTCTTTCATCGGTCTTGTTATTTTATTGTACGAGCATTTTCTCGACTAAGAAATATTTAATGTAATTTATAAACATATCACAGCTTGTCTACATAACGCATGATTTTTTCTTTGTGAGCATTATCCACCTGAAGTGTGTTTGACAACTAGTTATTTTAAATGTTCGTTTTAAAAAATCCAATTCCTTTTCCTCCAATATTTTTCGCTATAAAAGCTTTTGTTTTCATTTTGAACTCAATGTTTTGTTAAAGTATTTTGGAACTGGCTTAAAACTTAACATTCGCATCAGTAAGCGCCAGATATAATCGATCAACTGTGCATAATTTTACAATCCCTCATTTTTTAGTATTGCTCCAAAGTACTTTACGTTTATACAGATGTGCATAGTGTAAACATCCATTTCAAAGTCTTCGAAAATAATGAAAGTATACGTCACACTGTGGCCACTTAAAAATACCCAAAATGTTAAATATAATGTAAAACATATTCAGTTGAAAGACGTCAGAATACAAAGTTTAGTGACCACATCAATTAAGTTTAATTTTGTCATGACGGTTTGAATAGCCATACTGTGTCTCATACAACGAGGCTTGTTCAAAGAAAAACATAAATCTAAAGCAGTTGAAAAAGTCGAACTACTGCGTAGTGTGGTTTAGTAGCTTTAATTGCTTTCTTGGACAAGTTAACGAAAAGTTAGACATAGCGCAATGTTTTCTGTTACCTTATAATAATAGCTTCGTCTTCGGTGATGTAGGTAAAACATTAATTGGAGGGGGGGGGAAGGGGGTATATTCAAATATTCAAATATTCCTTTGCACACGATTGAGTTTTCTTGAAAGTGACTCTGCTTTCAAAACACAACTCAATTTTTGTACCTTTTCAGCTCCATTAATTTCATGACAGTATGATTCACATTACCAAAATGATAGAAAAATTTTGCATAAACACGTTAATTTTTTTGAAATATGGTGTTTTAATCTGTTAAATGAAACACATTATTATTACATAAGCAAATCCATTGATCAATGAGAAAACAGGATAGTGCACATTGGTTTTTCGAAAAGTCTTGCATACTGTAATTATTAGATTTGCTATTAGTCCAATATATTTTTATAGGAATTTTCTGTGAATATAACAGGTTAAGAACATCGATAAAGGCATACAGGAGGAAAATATTTTTGGTGATCATGTCTGGTAGCGTTGCCCAACAGGGTTGCGTAACTTTTTACCCCTTTGAGAATTACATAATGCATTGTTCTAGAGAATTTAAAAAGTTACATAACTTTTCCAAAGTAATTTCAAGGAGATAATTATTATTTTTGCATGAATTTTCCCAAAATTGATAACTAAAGCTTTTCACTTAAAAGACTTATCTTAGTGAGACGATTTATTTGTGAATAAGTATTTGCTCTCACACATTAGTGAAACATGTTTTAATCAGTGGCTTATGGTTATTTTAAATCTTTTTATTCTTTTCAATGTTGGTGGGTACCATATTTCTAAAGAACCTGAAAGATGACGCTCATTTGTGATAAAGTTGGAATGTTGATGTTTTTTTGTGTTTGTTGACAGTCAGTACATCCAATATTTCAAGTTGTCTTAAAAAGGAAGGGTGAGTAATAATCCAGAATTCTTTGAGGGTTTTGATCATTTGCCAAAACAATGAATGAAATAACATTTCTAAAGAAAATTAATGATGAAGTTAAATCTTAGTCTTTGTTGTAACTTATTGAGAATTTCTTTTTACTATTATGCAGTATAACAGCAGAATATTTTCATCGACAAGATGCTTGATGTCCTTTTGAGTTCCTCCAACTAGTATGCACTTGGCAAATACTGAGATTTTCATTTGTTAGCTGCTAAAGTGGTTAACTTTAAAAAATCAAATCACACCAAAACATAATTTAAAAAACCGATTCAGTGGCATCGTCAGGTCTTCAGACAGAAAGGGGAACTATGTAAAGGCTAAACGTGTAAAAGCACGAGCGTTGTTAGGGGGAATACACGTTTAAAATTTCTTACCCTTAAAATGCTATTTTGTAGATAAAGTTTCAAGCAAGTTTTCTGAAAATTTAAAAGCCCAACATCAATGATTTCTGTTAAGAAAAAGTTTTCATAGGGAAAAATTCTACTCTAGGCTAATCTAAATGTGTCGACAAGGTTATAAAAAGTTTTATCCGCAATATATCTGTTTTAGTATTTCCTTTGATATGTTCCCATTTCTTGGAAACAAGTACGTGCTTAGCTCTTTAGAATTTGCATAATTGTACAACCACCCACCCCTCCTCAAAAAGTTTTGCTTTTAATTGAAAATTCCGAAATTTGTTAAAAGAATGACTGGGCAAACACATTCTCCCAGTTTCCTTCACGGCAATAACATACACTGAAGCAATCAATTCAACAGACAATAATTGGCCAAAAAGATCTTAGCATGTATATTCTGATGTATGATATGGAAACAGACCTCATGACTTTCGAAGTTTTTACACCACTAATCAATAAGCCTATGACCCAAGCAATAACCATAAATGTACTATTTCCACACATATCACTACAACTATATTTATCAATTGTTCAAACTGTCCTTATATATATATATATATAAGGACAACCGTACGTCACATTGTTATGCACTTTGTATATATATATATATA